CTTCACGAGCCTCCTCCACAGAGGCCGATCTTGACACCGCTGGTACCAGTCATCGGCAAGTTCACTCATCTCCACGTCCTCCTGTACCACATCACTCCATCTCTTCTCTAGCCCGTGCCGCGCCTGTTTAGCCCCCTCGATCCGGCCGAACAAAAGGTGTTTTGGCATGCGGTGGCTGGGCATGCGGGCTACATGACCCAGCCAACGCAGCCTTGCCTGCCGGAGGAGCTCACCGATGGGACTTTGCCCAGATCTTTCAAGGATTTGTGAGCTCCTCACATAATCCAGCCTGGTTAAACCCAGGATGGATCGTAGGCAGGCCAGCCTAAATGTTTCCAACCGGCGAAGATGCTCCATTAGGGGGGTCCACGTTTCGCAAGCGTAGAAAAGGGAGGGAATGACTGGCCGAGAAGGCCTGAAGCTTCGTGCGGAGCGACAGACCAGGTAGCTTCCACACAGCGTTACGCAACCGATGAAAAGATATTGCCGCTCGACTGATTCGGAGTGAGACCTCTGCTGTGAAACTGGAGCCGGTCATAAGCACACTGCCCAGGTATGGGAAACTTTACATTCTCTCCACTACTGCCCCATCACCGATTGGGAGTTGTGGGGGTGGAGTGTTCGATGGTACAAAATACCCAGGCAGGTGCTTAGTTTTGGTGGGGCTGATGGTAAGGCCCCACCTCTTAGTGGCACGCTCCAGTCTCAGCAGCAGCGTCTCCAACTCCTCTGAATGAGCAGCTATTACCAAATCATCGGCGTACATAACGTGGTTGACCAATAGGGAGCCATCCCTTGATCGCACCTGGGCATCGATCAGCCTCCCATTATATCTATACCAAATGGAAATTTCTCCGGTACAGCTTTTGAAGGCTTCACGAACTACGTGGTCAAAATAGATGTTAAATAATGTGGGAGCCAAAGGACATACCTGTCGCACCCCAAGGTGTACAGGGAAAGGCTCGGACTCCCGGCCAGGTAGTTTTACCCGGGCCCGCTCACCATCATGAAGGTCCTTAATGATCGTGAGCAGCGGGTCAGGGACTCCGAAAGCACAAAGAACAACCCAGAGCCCAGGCCTACTGATGGTAGCATAGGCCTTGACCAGGTCAACAAAGCAGAGATATAGGTCTTGTTGGAATTCCCTACACCTCTGCTGTAGCAGACGGACAGAAAATATGGCATCTGTGCAGGACCGCCCTTTTCTGAAACCGCATTGGGGCTCCGCAAGCCTCTCCTCAGCGTGCCTAGCAAGGCAATGTTGAATAATCCTTGCAAGGACCTTTCCCGGCACACTGAGGAGTGAGATGCCCCTGTAGTTGTTACAGTATGTGCGTTCCCCCTTCTTAAAGAGGGGGACCACCAGGGCATCCTTCCAATCCTGTGGAACCCGTCCAGTGGTCCAGACTGTTGTTATGATGTCATGTAGGGCAGTCTGTGCACAAACGCCACCCTTCTCAGCATTTCGTTTGGGAGATCATCTCTGCCCGGTGCCTTTCCTGGTCTCAGACTCCGGATCGCCTTCAGTACTTCCTCAACAGATGGCACTTCAGCCAGCCACTCACAGGGGGTGACTTCTTCCAATATTTGAGGCACCGCAGCCTCAGCAGGGTTATCCCCACTTTGTGCCATGATGTTTTCATGGCTGAGGGATTTCCCCTCCCCCAGGACCTCACAGAAATGCTCAGCAAATCTGCAAACCTGTTCCTGGGGCTCGGAGATTGGATCACCGTTTTTTTCCCTAATGATGGTAATAGGTGTGGCGCTGCAGGTTACTTTTTTGATGGAGTTAAATAGTGATTTGTGATCGCGGGCCACTGAGGCAGACTCCATCTCCTCAGCAACCCGCGACCACCACCCATCCTTGCAGCGCCTTACTGCTCTCCGCACCTCCGAGCGAAGGCTGCGGTAAGCCTCCTCATTCTCGGACGTGGGATGCTGTAGCCGATTAGAGTGGGCATGTCGCTTTTTTTCAACTATCCTGAACACCTCCCTTGTCAGCCAGAGTCTCTGGGGAGGTCTGGACCGCGTACCCAAAGCAGCCATTGCAGCTGCATGAGTCACAGTCCTAAACCTCGCCCATTTATCCTCGACATCAGGAGGAGTGGGGGACGATGCCAACCCCAGTTGCAAGCGATGATGAAATTCTCACTTGCAACTTTCATCAGCTAACTGAGACCAGGCCACTTTAGGTTGGAATGGGGTCTTGGGTGTACACCCACCACCGGAGTGAAAGAATGGCAGGCGCATCTTACAGATGACTAGTCGATGGTCAGAGGGTCCGTCACTACGTAGTCCAGCAGATGTTCTTGCTTGGACCCGGCATGCATCCATGATGTTGTGTGGATGCGCCAATGCTGGAAGAGCGTGTTGGTAATTACAAGTCCATGGGCTGCACAAAAATCTAGCAGCCTCCTACCGTTGTTATTGAGCTGATCTGGCCCATGCCTTCCAATCACTCCAGACCAGGTGCCAGCATCATGAACACACGCTCACACATACACGCTCATACACGCACGCACACACACACACGCTCACACGCTCACACACACACGCACGCAGGCGCGTGGCGCGCGCCTCCCGTGACCCTGATCGCGGCGCATGGCCAAACGCCCCGATTCTGCGCGCCTCGCGAGAGCGGAATTTACACATCCAGCGACACGGCACTAGGTCAAAAATATACACACACACATCGCACACACGTAATATATACACACACATCGCACACACGTAATATATACACACACATCGCACACACGTAATATATACACACACATCGCACACACGTAATATATACACACACATCGCGCACACAAGTCTCTTTGCATTATCTGGCTCGATTCCCATCTCAACTTTAAAACCTCACGATCGACATTCTGAATAACAAATGAAGAATGAGGATGGGGACTTTGTACACAAGAAAATCCCGCGTCTCATCTCCTACACGGAAACATCGGGTAGCTGCTGCCTCTGTGCCTATCCTAGACTTTACTGACATTATATACAAATCAACTTCCAATACCACTTTGGCTTTGCTAAATCCCGCCTTTCATTCGTCCTCACACTTTATCTTACAAACCAACGTCTCCACTCATCACTGGCATCTTTACACCAATACCGGTTATCACCTCTGCTTTCAACTCGGAGGGTGACTCATTGGGCCAAGTCCATTTCTGATGCAAAGACAAATATCTCTAGCCAAGCCTTAATATACTGTCGGGGCAAATGTTGTTAGCGAGCACCTACAAATGCCGCAACGGCACCCGAGGGGGTGTGTGGCCAGCACCACGCACGACCGCCTTTGTTTCTTCACCGCACCAGGTACTCATTTAAGGCTGAATCAACCGAGGGGAGGCCTAGGACCAGTTCAGAGAATCGTTACTGGTGCTGGTCGCCGTGAGCGGAAATTGAACTCGGCCCGCCAGGTTCATAGTGCGGCACGCTAACCACTACACTACCGCTCCCCACATCTCGAGTCGACACACACTGACACGCGTTACTCGGTCACTCACCTACCCACAGTGTTTGTTTATTCAGAACCAAAACCCTCAAACTCCTAGACGCTCCACACGCAGTCTCTGTGACCAACACGGAGACCCATAGACTTGCACAGCGACCCACAGACTCACACAGAGGCCCATAGACTCGGTGGAGACACATTGGGCGGCTTTCTCTGTTCATGCGTCAACCGCCTGGAATTCCATCGCTTTATGAATAGCCTTGGCTCCTCTGCCATCTCAATCACAGTTCGATGCTGATCTATTGATTCGTTATAATAGCTTCACTTGTATGCACTGTATATAACTTCTTTCGCACCGTACGTAGCAGTTATTATTCACCCGTATATCGGTTCTGTTTATATGTTAGTCTAACAATCATCATAGATTCCCATTGCCCATCGACTACTTCTGCCCACCCACTTACATTACCCATAGACTTGCATTGTCCATTTAACTCGTCTATCCTTGTGTCTGTTTACATATCAGTACAATAGTCACCCTACATCTGTTGAATGTTTCTGTAACTTCGTTTTGTGATTGTGCCGTTATGGGTTTAAATATAATCTGCCCAAGCTGCCTCACGTTTCAGGTAATGTAATATAAAAAAATGTTCTCACGTGACAAAGCAGTTGTTTTGCGATGATTTCGCTTTGCTTAATTCAGTTCAGTTAATTTATTCGGTAAAGCCCTGTGAGCCATTCGGCTCTTGTTGTTAATTTGGATGCCCCAGGTCACTCTTGCAAATGCGACTCATTCTGGTGTGTTCAGTTCACACCTGCTTGCACAAAATCAAACTTGATGAGCAGTGACACACGCCACACACGCTGACGCATGAACATATTGACGCACACACACGCACTCACGTAGCACACATCTCACGCTGACGCACGGCAGAGCACACACCGAGCCCTCACCCCACCTCACACCCACGCGTTTTGCTGCTCACCAACAACAACAACAGCAGCCGCCACTCGCCGCTGAGCGACGGTGACGTTACCACGGCGCTTGTGCCAGGCTAGGTGCACTCTGAGGCTGGCTATCACGTGGAGTGTGGAAGGCTCGCTGGCAGAAGGTCACGTGACAGACCGCAGGTGTTACGAGTTCACTGAGACGACTGTCAGCTCCACCTCCGGTGCCTCCCCGCCGTGCCACATCCACGACTCACGCGCAGGGGTTGATCTTTACCGCGACCTGGTGCTGGTGGCCGTGTTCAGCTCCGTGCAGCAGCAGGAGACTGCACCGTGGTGCCGAGAGGCCTGTGCCGACCGAGAGTCGTGTCCGGGCTCGCCCGCTGGTGGAAGAGGTGGGGACCCTCGTGTTCACCCTCCCGCCATAAAGTCCACCTCCACACAACTCCACCACACTCGCGTCTGCCCATTAGTGCGTTTCTCCTCACCGAGTCTCCCCATATCCAAGAGTCCATATTCACCCGCGTCCACATTCACCCGCGCCCGAGAGCCGACCCCCCTTCCTTGACTCGCCGGCGCCCGCGGACTGCACGTGGTTCGAGCGTGCCAGCATGCTCGTGATCCTGCTCAACTGCGCCACGCTCGGCATGTTCCAGCCGTGCGCCGAGGGGCAGTGCCGCGCCCAGCGCTGCAGCGTGCTGCAGGTGAGCCCGCACTTGCTCCAGGTGAGGCATCCAGGTAAGGCATCCAGGTAAGGCATCCAGGTAAGGCCGACGGGTGAGGCCCACTTGCTCCAGGTAAGGCATCCAGGTAAGGCCGACGGGTGAGGCCCACTTGCTCCAGGTAAGGCATCCAGGTAAGGCCGACGGGTGAGGCCCACTTGCTCCAGGTAAGGCATCCAGGTAAGGCATCCAGGTAAGGCATCCAGGTAAGGCCGACGGGTGAGGCCCCCAGGTCCTGCAGGTGGAGCCTCCAGGGGAGGCAAGAAGTCAGTGGCTGCCTTGCCAGGTGGTGTTCACGCTCATCCTCTGGGTGATATTTCTCTGATATGTGCGAGTGTGTGATGATGAATTCAGTTCGGCTATGTTGATGGATAGAAATGACTCGTTTATGATGGTAATGATGACAATGATGATAGTGGTGGTGATGATGATGCTGATGATGGGGTGGTAGTGATGGTGATGATGGTGGTCGTGGTCATCGTGGTGATGGTGGTATTTATGGTTATGGTGTTAATGGTGGTGGTTATGGTGGTGGTAATCTTGGTGGTAATGGTGGTCACTCCAGGCATTCGATGACTTCATCTTCACGTTCTTCGCGGTGGAGATGATCCTCAAGATGATGGCGCTGGGGATCTGGGGCCGCGCGGGGTATCTGGGGGACACGTGGAACCGCCTCGACTTCTTCATCGTGCTGGCGGGGTAGTGCGCTCACCCCTCGCTCACCCCTCGCTCACCCCTCGCTCACCCCGCCATTACTCCTCACTCACCTTACGCTCACCCCGCGCTAAACTTCATTCATCCCTCACCCCTATTTCACCTCACACTCACCATCACTTACCCCTCATCCACCCCTCACCGCTCACGCACCCTTCGCTCACCCCTCTCTTATACAGCGCTCAACTCTCATTTCACTTCTTACACACCCCGTACTCACCCCGCGCAATGACTAACCCTTTACTCACCCCTCGCTCACTCAACTCACCTACACTCACCCCTCGCTCACTCTACCCTCACCCCGCACTCATCATCACTCTCATTCCTCACCAAACGCTTCCATTCCTCGCTCACCCCACACACTCAACTCTAAAACTGTTGTCACCCCCTTAGCTCACCTCTCACTCACCCTCCACTGACCCCCTGCTCACCTCTTGCTGACCCCTCACTCACAGCTCATCAACCTCTCACTCAGTCTCTGCACCCTGTCCTCGTCCTCCCCACCTCGTCCACCCATCGTCCTCCCCACTTCGTCCTCCCGCTCCTCATCCTCTCATCCCCATGCTCCCCTCGCCGTTCTCATCCCACATCGTCGTCTTTCTCGTCAACCTCCCTCTTCTCCTCCCCCAAATCATCCTCTTCTTGTCCTCACCACCTGCTTCCACCTCGTCCTCCCCTCTTTGTTCCTCTCACATCGCCCTCCCTCACCTCGTCCTCCCCACCTCGTCCCCCTTCCACGTCGTCCTCCTTCCACGTCGTCCTTCCTCACCTCGTCCTCCCCACCTCGTCAGCATGCTGGAGTACTCGCTGGACATGGAGAGCGTCAGCCTCTCCGCTATCCGCACGATCCGCGTGCTGCGCCCACTGCGAGCGATCAACCGCGTCCCCAGTGAGACTCACTCGCCCACTCGCCCACTTACACTCACTTACTCACTCGCCCACTCACCCAGCCACTCACCAAATAATCCACTCACTCACTCACTCACCCACTTACACTCACTTACTCACCCAGCCACTCACCAAATAACCCACTCACTCACTCGCCCACTTACACTCACTTACTCACCCACTCACTCACCCAGCCACTCACCAAATAACCCACTCACTCACTCACCCACTTACACTCACTTACTCACCCAACCACTCACCAAATAACCCACTCACTCACCCACTTACACTCACTTACTCATCCACTCATTCACCCAGCCACTCACCAAATAACCCACTCACTCACTCACCCACTTACACTCACTTACTCACCCACTCACTCACCCAGCCACTCACCAAATAACCCACTCACTCACCCACTTACACTCACTTACTCACCCACTCCTCACTCACCCAGCCACTCACCAAATAACCCACTTACACTCACTTACTCACCCACTCACTCACCCAGCCACTCACCCAATAACCCACTCACTCACTCACTCACCCACTTACACTCACTTACTCACCCACTCACTCACCCAGCCACTCACCCAATAACCCACTCACTCGCGCACTCATTCACCCTCAAGGCAGGTGTGAGTGATGCCAGGTGTGTGGGTGCTCACTGGGCAGGTGAGAGTGAAGTGAGTGGGTGAGCCGTGCCCGCGAGGCCGGAGTGAGCGGGTGAGCGGGTGAAAGGGTGAGCGCTGCCTCCAGGCATGCGCATCCTGGTGACGCTGCTGCTCGACACGCTGCCCATGCTGGGAAACGTGCTGCTCCTCTGCTTCTTCGTCTTCTTCATCTTCGGCATCGTCGGGGTTCAGCTGTGGGCCGGCCTGCTGCGCAACCGCTGCTTCCTGCGCGAGGCGAACGCCACCCTGTGAGTGAGGTCCCTGTGAGTGAGTGACCCTGTGCAGTTCTTCGGAACCAAACCTACACAAGGAATATCACACGTGTATTCTGCAACCACCACCACCAAGTGTGGATGGGGTCACCAACTTATCGGGTTTAACCCGGACTGTCCGGGAATTTGCGTCTGTTTTGTTTGGGTGGCAGGAAGTGATTTGTACCGAGATGTGGTGCTGGTGACCTTTGTTGAACTCTGTTAGAGTGACCTGCACAGTGGTTCTGAGGAACCCAGGCCGATCGCGGAACAGGTCCGGGTTTTCTGCGGAAGTGGCAACGACCTGAGCCGCGGTCTCCGTGCCCGCAGGGACGTGGACGGCTCCTCGCTGCCGCTCTCGCCCGTGTTCCGCACCGAGGACGAGAGCGACCGGCCCTTCATCTGCTCGCTGCCCCGCGACAACGGCGTGCGCAGCTGCCGCGACCTGCCGAGGTCGCGCCTCGCGGGGGGGCCCTGCGCCTCGGGGGCCGCCCTCGGCGGGACGCGGTGGAGCGGCGGGGCGCCGCGCAACGGTTCGGGCCCCGCGGGCCCCTACAGCCCACACGGCCCACACGGCCCACACGGTCACTACAGCCCCTACAGTCCGCACGGAGGCCTTGGCGCGCAAGCCATGGTGTCCATTCCTGAGAACCAGAGCAGCGGCGGGGCGCGCCGTGTGCGTGGACTGGAGCCGCTACTACAGGTGCTACCCCCCCCAACCCCCACCTCTCAGCTCCCCGCCCCCCCCCTCTCCCACCACGGGCTCTCACCTTGCTACCCTTCCCCTCCATTACCTCCCACCCTCTCGCCCCCGGCACCCCCACTTTACCCCACGTGGGGGGAGCAGCAATCATGAAACTGGAGCCGCTCGCGAGTTTCTCATGGAGATTGATAGAAGTCACGGGAGAGTGACGGGAGGGGTGGAGAGAGGGGGGGGGGGGGTGAGAGGGAACGTCAGGGAGAAGGGACCCCTATACAGGATCTTTATACCCCTCGGCATTAATCCCCCTGCCTTCATCCTCTTTGCTTGACCCCCCCCCCCCCCCCACCCAGGATTGATCCCCTATCGTGATCCCCTTGCCGAGACACCCAAATCTTGACCCCCCCCACCCCGGATCGATCCCCTATCGTGATCCCCCAGTTTTGATCCCACGGTGCTGGCCCGCTTCTCTTGCCCCCCCCCCCCACTCCCACGCAGCGAGTGCCGCCCCGGGAAGAGGAATCCGCACGGAGGCTCCGTGAACTTTGACAACATCGGCTACGCGTGGATCGCCATCTTCCAGGTGAGACGAGGGGAGGGAGACGATGAAGGGGGGGAGGGGCGAATCTACGTGAGGGGGGGGGGAGAGTTGGGGTTGGGGGGTGATTACCGCAGGGACCGCGGAAGCTCTGCGCTATGGTTGATGTTTTTATGTTGAACTTCTTTCGCACCGTACGTAGCCAACCGTGCTCATCGGAGGTTCGGGGGAAGGACAACAAACTGAGAGTGACTGAATAATTCCCTAATTCTCGTCTCAGACGCGACCCGCTAGACGATGCTTGTGTGGTGGTGCTGGTGGTGTTGATGATGGAGATTGTGGTGCTGTTGACAGGTGATCACGCTGGAGGGGTGGGTGGACATCATGTATTACGTCATGGACGCGCACTCCTTCTACAACTTCATCTACTTCATCCTCCTCATCATTGTGAGTCCGCAGATCGGGCGTGGGGTGGGGGGTGGGCATCTGGAGTTTGTTTGATTCCCACGCATGGCCAACAAGAGTGACAACTATCTGAGCCAGTTCTGGGCCTCGCCTAGGCCGGTTCAGCCTTAAATGAGTACCTGGCGCAGCGTGTAAGTGTACGGCTGAGTGTGGTGCTGCCCCTTACCCCCTCGTGTGTCGTGATGGTCTTCACAGTTGCTCGCCCAGCACTTGCCCCAGTACGATGCTGGTGATGACGGGGGGTCGATGTCATTGTGTGTGCGCAGGTCGGGTCGTTCTTCATGATCAACCTGTGCCTCGTGGTCATCGCCACGCAGTTCTCCGAAACCAAGCAGCGTGAGAACCAGCTGATGCACGAGCAGCGGGCGCGCCTCGGATCGCGCGGTAGCTCCATCGACAGCGCGGGGGGCGACCAGGTGGGGGGGGGGGGGGGGCTCCGGTCGACGCATCCAACCCACTCGCACACATCCAGTCTACACCCTGTGGTGCATTATAGTCGACTCAGTCACCCGTTCACGCACCCACTCATCACACTGCAGGTGGGACATTTCGTCCTCCCATCGTCATCTCTTTCCCCCAAGCTCTCATAAGAATAACCTTGCTCAATTCAAGAAACGTGCTAATCTTTATCTATTGCGACTTTCATGGTGCTGTCCGTCGCTGGTCGTTTGGCGTTTTGTGTGTGTGCTCAGTAACTGTATTAAACACACACCGCGTGCGTTACTACGCACGCGGTGCGTGACACGTGGGGGTAGACGTCGCCGTCAATTTAACGCGTAATTTACTCTGTGAATCGAGTGTCGCGCGAATCCCCCCAGGCGACTCTTGCAATTCCTCCTCATGACCGTCCCCACTCCTGCCCCCCCCCCCTCCCCGTTCTGCTGCTGCTCCTCCTGCACTCCCCCACTGCACCCCTCCCGCGCGCCCAGGAGCCGGGCAGCTGCTACCAGGAGCTGCTGCGCTACAGCGCGCGCGCCTGCCGGAGGCTGCGGCGGCGCGCGCTGCACCTGTGGGGCGCCTGCTCCTCCGCCTGCTCCTCCGCCCGCAACTCCGCCTCCTCGTCGCAGCCGCGCTCCGCCATGCGCGGCTCCTGCCTGGAGCGCGGCGGCTGCCTCCACGTGGCCAAGCGGCGCCCGCGCTGCTCCTGCCGGCGGCACCGCTCGTCCTCCCTCCTCCGCCACCACTACCAGCAGCAGAGCCACCGCCGGCGGCACGTCAGCCACCACCACCACCATCACCGCCACCACCACCACCATCACCACAACCACCACCACCGGCGGGACGGCGGCGCGGCCCGGGGCACCCTCGCTGGCGGCGGCGGCAGCAGGAGGAGGAGAACGTGCAAGTCGGTCCACCGCCACATGGTCCACCACCACCACCATCACCACCACCACTATCACATCGGCAACGGCAGCGGCCAGCAGCAGCAGCAGCAGCAGTCGGCGGCGGCGGCGGCGCCCGGGATCCCGCAGCTGGAGGCGGGAGAGGCGGGGGCACCCCTGGGTCCCGGGGGGTCGAGCGGGGCCCTGGTGGTGCGTGGGCGCGGGGGGCGAACCGCCTCCGTGCACAGCGTCTTCCACGCCGACTGCGTGCGCCTCGACTGCCCCCCCACGGGGGTCAAGCAGCCGCTGTCTCCCCCCACGCCACGTGTCACGCCCCCCATCAGCTACCCGACCATCATCGCGTCGGGCCCCCCACGGAACGAGGATGCGGCGAAAGCAAAGGCGGCGCCAGGGAGGGGGGGCTCCATTGCTCCCTACAGGGGGCTGCGGCGCTTCTCACGCACCTACAGCAGTACGCGTGTCCATATGTGTGCGTGTGTGCGCTGGCGCGGTGGTTAGCGCACTGCGCTACGAATCCGGCGACACGAGTTCGATTCCCCGCTCACAGCCAACCAACATCGGTGACTAACATCTAAATTGGTCATGGGCCTCCCCTAGGTCGACTCGGGGTTATAAGAGTAACTGATCTCGACACATGTAATAGGTTCCACTGAGTCGCAGACGTCGACTTTGGAGGCAACACGTTTATTCAGTTCCAACACACGAGGTAACTTCCCCTGAACAGAATAACAACCTAAGGTGGTGACCACCAGGCTAACTACACTAGTTACTACACTACTACACTAGTTACTACACTAGTTACTACACTAGTTACTACACTACTACACTAGTTACAACGTAACTGCTACTACGGACCGGAACCAACAGCTTCGGCCCGGGTCCACGTGTTGGAGACTCGTTGAACGGAGATCGTAGACTCAGGGTTTCTTCCAGGATGAACAATAACCACCCTGGTCCCTCTCGGGACCCGGCTTCTATTCTCTGCGGCGTGGCCGGCTCCGCCCTTGGCCACGCCCACCTTCCAGAATCCTTTGGAAGGATCTGGGTCCCAATCACGTGACCCCCCCCTAGCCCCCCCCTCTTGGGGCCCCTCTGTCCACTTAACCGGTCACGTGTCCTCCCGGGTCAACCAGAGTGCCGTGGCCTCACACGACCCTCACCCTTCGGGCGGCACCCACACACCCCGTGTCCCGTGGGGCCGGCACGGCACCAACCGTCTGGTGGCCTCCAGCGCCGTGGTCCCGCGGACACGCCGTGCCCCTTCAGGGCCGCTACTGCAGCCACAGCTTGGTGGCCTCCGGCGATGTCACTGCACACATACAACAATTGGGTTCACCCTTTCTGGCAATAAAACAGGTGCTAAGATGTTCAAACACCAAACAGAAACCCTTTGCAAGGAATCGTTTCGGCATTAGCCACACACACCTGTTTCATTGCCAGAAAAAGTCAAACCAATTCTAAAATGTTGATACTGGTCAAGAAAGGTCCCATGATGATCTGTACACATCAGCATTGAGGATACAAAGGCGAACGTCTGCCGTGTTGGCCTCAATAGGTACTCGTTAACATCACTTGCCGTTGTATTTGTATGCAGCGAGTCCGTGCGTGTGCCAGGCTGACCGCTGTTGTTTAGATCCCCTACACAACCATTGCCAGGTCCAACAGCGACCACTAACCACCATCATCATCACAATCACAATCATCACAATCACGACCACTAACCAGTCACCACTACCAACACCACCATCATCACAATCACCACTACCAACACCACCACCATCATCACAATCATCACAATCACGACCACCACCACTACCACCACCACCACCACTGTAAGTGACCCATGCGTCCGCGCTGCAGGTTCGCGCCGCGACTCGGGCCGCTCCTCCCGCGGGTCTCCCTCGCTGCTTCTGGAGCGGGAGCTGCAGCGCTGCCCGCACTGCCCGTCCGACAGCTCCGAGTGAGAGAGCGCACCCCGCCACGCCCCCCCGCCCCGTCCGCACCCCCCGCCCCCTCCGCACCCCCCCCCCGGCCCCGGAGGGGGGGACAACCCCCGCCTTCACCAGGCGGGCACGGGTCACTGGATCAGGGATGAATGCAGTGATATTTTACTGCCTCGACCTGGCCCGCGTGGACTTTCTAGACCTCGCCGCGTTTCGCCACGGCGGCGACGCATGCACAGCAGCCCCCCAGGCGTGCGGGGGTCACCTTCGTGACGCGGTCTCCACGTGTCCGGCCGCCAAGGGGAAGTGAATACCTAAGGGCAGACGTGGGATACTGTCAGAGCAAATCTACGGGTGTCTGAGTGAGTCTATGGTTCTCTGTGCGAGTCCATGGGTTCGTGTGAGTCTCGGAGCAGGTTGTGGGAGGAGGCTGTCGGGGCAGTGTTTCGGAGGCCGCTGCGCGTCTCCTGCGCAGCATCTGCGAGATCCGGCGGAGGGCCTCGGTGGCGATAACGGGCGGTGGTGGTGACATCCGTAGCCTCGGCCGCGATGACGTCTTGGCCGTCTATTACACTGTGGCCTTAAAACAGATCAAACAGGCGGAGTTTCGGGCAATGACCCTTCTTCGTAGCACCATTTATATGCTATGCAGAGGGGCATTGCCCGAAACGTCGAATACTATATACCGTGTTATAGACGAGTGTGTTGAGTTGCTTTGTTATTTTTGGTAGTACACCGTTGCCAATGCAGCAGCATCATCGCCAGATCACGTGGCCAATTACAACAAGGGTCTCAGGACTGATTGTCAGGATCATGGTCATGATCCATCCATCACTTTGGCCAATCCTGTTTTTAAGGAGTGATGTTTGTTTCGTGTCGGAGGAAACTGGAGAACACTCAAAGGTCTGCACAAACGGGTTCACAAACCCTCTTGCCCTACTACCATCTGGTCACCTGGCATATCAGCTGGTTTGGTAATTTTATGAATCTCTGTGTAATCCACCAACCCCATTTCCTTCAAAGCGCTGTATCACGTCACGGTTCATAAAGGTCACCATGCTGAGCGGTGAGCGAGAGACGCGGCGGCGCGCGACTCGAATTATATCCCGTGCCCCCCGCAACCCTCTACCGCCCCCCCCCCCCGTCAGCTGCGATTGCAGTGACAGCGATAGTGGGAGTGACGCGGGGTCGGGGCTCGGGGCAGAGGGACCCCCGCACCCCCGGGACCCCCGGGACCCCCGGGACCCCCGGGACCTCCGGCGTCCGAGCGGCCGTCGGGACCAGGATCGGCCCGAGGAGGGGCCACCTCGTCGGGTGGGTCCCTCTGCCACCGTCATCGCCTCCTCCAGCAACAGCACCGCTCGGATCAGCGGCATGAACCCGCAGAGTCGCTTCGGGCGCGCCCTAACCAGCCGCCCTCCCCTCCTCTGCCAGGTGGCCCGGCTCCCCGCGCGAGCGCGCAGATGGGGGGCCGCAAGGCCCCGCTGGGCGCGCGCGTGGGGAACCGCGGGCCCTCGATGGGCGCGCGTGAGCCGCTGGTTCCGCGCGATCGTGGAGAGCAAGTATTTCACCCGCGGCATCATGGTGGCCATCCTCATCAACAGCCTGAGCATGGGCATCGAATACCACGAGCAGGTGCACCAACCCCACCACCACCACCTCCTCTCTCTGCTGCCATGCGCTGCTGTAGAGTAAATCTTGAAGATTCAGGTGCTGCAGTATTTGGCTTCAGCAGTGTGTGAATACACTTGACTAATTTGCGGTGTAATTTTTGCGAATTTGTGAAATTTGGACCATGATGTCGGCATACAATGGCCTACTTATTTCAAATGACGTGACAGGATCTTTGACGCTCACTGTGGAAACGCCCGGCGCGTTTGTTTGGTTGATACCGAAGTGTTTACCAGGGTGGCCTATCGGCATTAAACCGTGAAACTTTGCAACAAGTGGCGGACGCGCTCGAGCGGGGCCATGTCCCCGCTCGAATGAATGGCAAGATGAGTGTTTCAGCTCCTGCACTTCCTCCCTCCACCTCCACTGCAGCCCGAGGAGCTCACTAATCTGCTGGAGATCAGCAACATGGTGTTCACCAGCATCTTTGCGCTGGAGATGCTCATCAAGCTGCTGGCGTCCGGGCTGCTGGGCTACATCCGCAACCAGTACAACATCTTTGACGGCATCATCGTCATTATTAGGTGCGTCACCACCACCACCATCAAAAAAATCACGATAAAAACCACAACCACCATCCAGTACCACAACATCACCACCACCGCCATTGAAAACTCTAACACAAAACCATCACGAGCATCACTGTGGAGAATTCGAGACAATAAATAAGCAGCTAATTGGCCACCTTTCCATATCTGTCTCTCCACATACAAAATACCATTCTTTTGACACATCACATCAGCCACGTAACCTTTTGGCAGTGCATAATTTTATCAGCCTTTGTGTAATACAAGAAAACTCTGCAACGATTTCGACATGCAATGTCTGATCAGCAGAGTCAGGCTTTCTTGAACAATTCTGATGAACTGCCAGATGTTTCTAAGCAAGGCCTCTGCCGTACAGAAACTGGATTCCAGGGTAGTGGTTGGAGCGTGTCCTTGTGTATTCCAACCAAAACTACGCTCTCACGTCAACCACATCACAACCACGCTCTCACGTCAACCACATCACATCCACGCTCTCACGTCAACCACATCACATCCACGCTCTCACATCAACCACATCACAACTACGCTCTCACATCAACCACATCACATCCACGCTCTCACGTCAACGACGTGGTAGGCAGCAGCATCACCGCTTGCCGAGATATCATGGTCACATTCAGTCGCGGCTCGTGACATTTTCACTAGGTGGGCCTGTTGTGAGTGGTGTTCTAATTAAGAAAAACCTCGTCGTATTATTGCTGCCATCGCCATCGCTGTTGTTTCCTCCTCGAGCGTGTAGGCCGTGACCTGCTGTATCTGTACAGTGCACCCTCGCTTCGTGACATCGTCTCTCATCACAGCCACGGGCGGCTGCTTCACCGCCCTGAGTGTGTCTCTAACGGCGTGGCTACAATGCGAAGCTAATCGCGATGACTGATGGGATATTTCTCAGTCGGACGCCTTCACAGCCGCCCAGAGACCTCCCCGAGGCACAAATCAGACTGTGTTGAAATAATCATTAGATATATATAAAAAAAGCAAACATAACAAAACAATTGATAGAAAAGTATTTTTTATTAGAACAATCATTTCTCAACTCCAGCTGCTTGGTGGGGCGGCGCACCAACGCCCCCTTTGTCCCCGCGTGTCTCGCCGTGCCCCCCCCCCACCGCAGCGTGTGCGAGATCGTGGGGCAGTCGGGTGGGGGGCTGTCGGTGCTGCGCACGTTCCGGCTGCTGCGCGTGCTCAAGCTGGTGCGCTTCATGCCCGCGCTGCGGCGCCAGCTCGTGGTGCTCATGAGAACCATGGACAACGTGGCCACCTTCTGCATGCTGCTCATGCTCTTCATCTTCATATTCAGGTGCGGTGCGTGCGGGGACATCTCTACATCAGCCACAGCACCCCCGGGAATCGCGTGACTCTTGTGTGACCACCCACACTCTGAATCCATCCTCTCTTAGCTACATGTCGACACCTCTCGATTTAAATCAGCTCAAGCCTCTCGTAAACCACGTGACTGGTCTTTTACCACTTACACTCGGAGCCCCCCCCTCACCGCCTCCTGTGAGAGTAGACGCGGCTTCTCCGTGCAGCAGCAGTAGCGTCGAGCCCTGGTGTAGCCTCCTCCACCCTCTCCTCCTACATTCTTATTCCCCATTCATTCTCTTATCTCTTCGCTCTCCCACTGCTGTTTCCCATGCATCTCATCCCTGACTCTGCTCCCATTCCCGCGTGGTGCTGCTCTGTCGCCACGGCTACACAGCTGCCAGTGACAGCCATCACGCTCATGACACCGAGGGTCGCTCTGCACTTGACGGCCCGGGAACTCAACGGTAAAGCAGGCGACTGGGGGCGGATCCAATGGGGGGGGGGGGGGGGGGAAGGGGCGATCTCCCTCCCACTCCTCCCACCCCTTGAGACTCAGATATTGATATTTATTGACCAGAGGAAATATCTAATTATAAGCAATGCAGTAGCCTGTATTAAAAGGTCAACATTTTGGGGCCCCTCCTCCCCGCACGCCCCTCACGCTCACGTGGTCACGTGTTCAAATCCCGGCCGGGGTTGGGCTGACTCACCACCGGCTCAGGAGGGCTGTATACAGGAGATGAGCACCAATGCCTCAGTGCTCGTTTGAGTAGAAACCTGAATAATCACGTAGGGCCCATCAACCGACCCACTGATGGATGATCACCTGCTAACGCAGTGCGGGTGATCGGCGTAATTTGACCATACTTCACCGCGCGGGTCCGTGCTGGCTGTTGAAGGCAGGCGGGGAGACACGTTGGAGCATAGTATAGTACAACTATGTGCGTTGTGTGCGTGGCGTCGTAGCATCCTCGGGATGCATCTCTTCGGCTGCAAGTTCAGCGTGAAGACGGAGAGTGGGGACACGGTCCCCGACCGCAAAAACTTCGACTCGCTCCTTTGGGCCATCGTGACCGTCTTCCAGGTGCGTGCGGGTGGGTGGGTGAGTGGGTGGGTGAGTGAGTGGGCGGGTGAGTGGGTGAGCGGGTGGGTGTGTGAGTGGGCGGGTGAGTGGGTGAGTGGGTGGGTGTGTGAATGGGTGGGTGTGTGAGTGGGTGGGTGAGTGAATGGGTGAGTGGGTGAGTGGGTGAGTGTGTGAATGGGTGGGTGGGTGAGTGGGTGGGTGAGTGAGTGGGCGGGTGAGTGGGTGAGCGGGTGGGTGTGTGAGTGGGCGGGTGAGTGGGTGGGTGTGTGGGTGGGTGAGTGATTGGGTGGGTGTGTGAGTGGGTGGGTGAGTGAGTGGGTGGGTGTGTGAATGGGTGAGTGGGTGAGCGGGTGGGTGTGTGAGTGGGCGGGTGAGTGGGTGAGTGGGTGGGTGTGTGAATGGGTGGGTGTGTGAGTGGGTGGGTGTGTGAATGGGTGGGTGTGTGAATGGGTGGGTGTGTGAGTGGGTGGGTGTGTGAATGGGTGGGTGTGTAAATGGGTGAATGTGTGAGTGGGTGGGTGAGTGAATGGGTGGTCCTGTGGGTGGGTGAGTGTATTGTTGTGACCTGCCATGTGGAGGAGACGATCGGCCTTTGCCGTGGCTCTGCGTGCTCCCTTGTGGCTCTGATGGCTCCCGTGTGGAACTGCGCGTGTCGTTCCTCACCCGCGTGCGGGCGGCGGTGCAGATCCTGACGCAGGAGGACTGGAACGTGGTGCTCTACCACGGCATGGCCTCCTCCTCACCCTGGGCCGCGCTCTACTTCATCGCGCTCATGACATTCGGAAACTACGTCCTCTTCAACCTCCTCGTGGCCATCCTGGTGGAGGGCTTTCAGGCCGAGGTCGGCCTCACTGTGCGCGCGTCTGTCTACACGTCTCTCTGTCTCGGTGTGAGTCTGCCTGTGAGTGTGAGTGGAAGTCTATCCACTGGTCCGTCTCGCCATAGGTCTGCCCGTCTGTCTGTTTGTGTGTCTGTGTGCGTCGGGAGCAATGGAGCAGTGGTGAGTGCACTGCGTTACAAACTTGAAGACCCGAGTTAGATTCCCGCTCACCACCGATAACAGTCGCGAAAATATGAACCGCTCTTGGGCCTTCTCTATGTCGACTCAGCCTAAAATAAGTACCTGGTGTGGTACGTAAACTGGTGAGACAAAGGCGGTGGGGCGTGGTGCTGGTCATCAATCCCCTCGTGAGTCATACCGGCCTTCATAGGAACTCGCTAACAGCACTTGCCCATACAGCCTGAGTGGGCTACACAGGGGAGCTTTGTGGTTGTTTACATCGTCCCAACGCCTCACGTGGGGTCTCCCCCCCCCCCCCCCCCAGGGAGACGCGAGTCGCTCCGACTCGGACGACGACGTGGGCGGCTCGGCGTTGGACGAGGAGGGGGACTCAGCTAAAGGGCTCCCAGGTGCTCCCCCCCACACCGCCCTCTGCCCCCTCCCTACCCGCGCCCTCCCCACCTTCCACTCGATTCCCAAATTAGGGGGCAGCAGAGGGGCAGGGTCGTGGAACAGCGCACGACTCACATCACCTCCACAGACAATTAACGATGATGATGTTTTGAATTATTATTTAGTGATGATGATGATGTTGACGATGATGTATCTTCCTGCAGTGTTGGCCTCAAATGGTCACGCGGACCCCAAAGGGGTGGGGGGGCCGGCCCCCACGGACGCCGCCTCTTCTCCCGTTGGGGAGCCGTGGCACCACGTGGGTACTACTGCAAAGTTCCCACACGAAAACCGCTTACCGGTATTATTGAAAATCGTTTACCGAATCCGGAAGCCGGGAACTAGGAACATATTGCCCGTGCCACTGATTAGCATGGTTGGCTCCGTACTGTGTTGAAAGAAGTTAAACATAAAACATATTCCAGCGGAACATTTTACTATTTTTATTTTACCAGGCAAGGCCCACTGAGCTGTACAGCTCTTTTTCAGAAGCGGCCTGGCCACAAATGGTAGCCCAACGAAGTGGCTTATCACGTGTGAATATATAGTAGCCAAATACTCTAAGCGCATGATTCTAAATGTGAATGGGAAAAAAAGGACCGGGAGAAAAATCCACACGACCATGGGGAGAGACATACAAACTCTAAATATACAGCCGGGGTCGGGGTCGGGATCGAAACCACGACCGCCTGCATACCAAACGAGGTATTTGACACCACGAGGTATTTAACAACACGAGGTATTTAACACCACGAGGTATTTGACAGCGCCCTATGAGTAACGAATGCACCAATTGGCTCACGCTGACGTACAAATCGCACGGCGGCAGGCCTAAATCACCGCGTGGTTAATTTCCCCTTGTGTCTTAAGTTAAGGTTCAAGTCTATTTTATGGCAAGAGGTAAGAATTCTAGAGACCAGGATGATGCTCATTTGCAAGCGTTACCTGGGTCACCAAAATGACAAAAGGGAAACAAAAGAAAACAGCACAGCACTGAAGCAAAATTAATCTTGAGCAAAAACAACCAAATAAAGATCTGTTAAAATGTGAATGTGCAACCCTAGAATTGCTAGCTCCATGTCTCTCTCCCTGGCTCTCCTTGCCCCTCTCTGGCACTCTCTAACTCTCCGCGCTCTCCCGAGCTCTCCCTGCCTCTCCCTACCTCTCCCCCCTGCCTCTCTCCTTCACGGCGGTGAGCAGGTCGTCCTCGACGCTTCCGCGTGCATTGTCGGCGAAGGAATCTCGGGGGGCCCCGGGGTTCTCGTGGGGGCGGCTGTCCTCGTCGCAGGCCCGGGGCCCCGAGCAGCCCGCAGGTCGAGTGGGTCGCGAGGGGGGGCCGGGTCCCCCCGCCGCCAGGGGGAGCGCCGCTCGCTGCTCTCGCCGGACGACGGCGACGACCACGAGTTCATCGACGCGCCGGGGGCGGCGAGCGGCGGGGACGAGGGCGCGGGGGCGAGGGAGGGGGCGAGGGAGGAGGCGAGGGAGGAGGCGCGGGAGGGGGCGAGGGAGGGGGCACGGCCCCCTCCCCCGCCCCTCCCCGCCCACGCTGTTGCTGCCCCTCGCCTCGCCCCCCGCGGCGCCCGGAGCGGCGCCCGGAGCGGCGCCCCCCGTGGCGCCCCACGACGTCGCGGCGGTGCGCGTGGCCCTGCACCGGCCCGCACTGCCGCTGCCCCTGCTCATGCCCGTGGCGCTGCACCTGTCTCTGCCCGACTGCAATGGGAAGACACCCCCCCATGGCTCGGCCAAACATGCGCCGCCAGACCCCCTGGATGATATTGACGATGTGAGCCTCATCGGAATCGGAATCTGCAGCACAATCATCATCATCATCATAATCAATCTCGTATTCCCCCGAGTGAAACTACATTCTCTGCCACGTCTACCACATCAGTGTGAACTCTGCGTGTCGTGTGTGTTGTGCTGTTTGTGACACCTGGCAAATGACCCCTACCTCCTTGGCGGTTTCCATTCGCTAACCTCGATGATGTGTCGTGTGCAATATCATTGGAGGGAAAGATGATGCTAATTAGCTCTTACACCTAGGATGGTGAAAACAACGCTTGTGCCAGAGGCCCCGGGGTGACAGGCGTCTATGACATCTCCTGGCCAAATCCCATTTGGCAGAGCTCAGGGTCCCTCCAGAAACAGAAAACCACTGCGCATGGCCACATCGGGTGTTTGAACACTCACCTTGGATGAGAGGCTGCCAGTCTTCTGTCGGGATCTCGACTGGTACCACATAGGCCTCCGTGGTTTACTGAAGGTCTGGTGGGCCGTTTCCGGTTCCGGTCACTACGAAGGGTGGACAGTCCTCCACTCGAGGCAGGGAACAACAGGGAGTGGCTCTTTTGAACAAAATGTGGAGGCGAGGTGTGGGAATCTGTGAGTTCCATGCTACTGTTAACTTGCCCCATGAACGGGAGGGGAGGAATGGTGATGTGGTTTCCACCTCCACCGAAGATGAATATATACGGAGAAGAACGCAGACAAGGTTGATGAGTCAGGTGCCTTCTATAACCTCCTGTCCTAGATGCTGACTAAGGTGTCCCCTCAGGATTATGAAAGCGATAATGGTGTGTATGCTGATGGTGTGTATGCTGATGGTGTGCATGATGTGCGTGTGTCTGTGCGTGTCCTCAGCGCTGGTGGTTCCGGCTGGGCCGCCGCCTCCAGCGCCACCGGCCGCGCTGCTGCGTGGTGCGCGCGGATTGGTCGCTCTACGTGTTCCACCCGCACAACCGGTAGGGCGCTGCACTGCACTCGCACAGACACGCAGACGAAGATCCCCCGGGTACCCAACACAGACCCACACACCGACAGTCTCACACACACAGCCTGAGGTTGGGAACACACAGACACATTCACACACATCCACCCCCCTGCGCTGCCCCCCCCCCACCCCCCGCGGAGTGCAGGTTCCGCTGGGTGTGCCGCAAGATCATCGCGCACAAGGTGTTTGACCACGTGGTGCTGCTCTTCATCTTCCTCAACTGCATCACCATCGCGCTGGAGCGGCCCGACATCCCCAGCTACAGCGCCGTGAGCATCTCCCGCTCCCTTCCCGTTACCCCCCAACCCACGCTCCGAGCCCCCCGGTGTGCGCTCACAATCACCGTACCCCCCCCCCCCCCCCACTGCCGTGGTGCGCAGGAGCGCGTCTTCCTCACTGTCTCCAACTACATCTTCACCGCCGCCTTCGTCACCGAGATGGCTATTAAGGTGCTGCGGCATCGCTCCTCGGGGACGTGGCTGAAATGAAGCCTCTCTTCAAGCACGCACACACTCACACAAATTTGCGCTCTAGCATTCACATAAGTAAACCTGTTACAACTTGGAAAGTGCTGTTTGTTGCTGACCGCTAGACGTTTTGGGGATTTGGGCTTGTGTTCAATACCTGCGTCAAAACAAAATCGTCCATCGTATCGAGACCCTGGTCGTTCGCTCGGTGATGCCTTGCGGCGGGGGTCACGGCCGGGGTGACCGGAGCCTCTGGCCCGCTACTCCCCCCCTCCCCCCTCCCCCTCCCTGGCCCCGCCTGCTCCGGTGTGCAGGTGACGGCGCTGGGCCTGGCGCTGGGGGATGGCGCGTACCTGCGCAGCTCGTGGAACCTGCTGGACGGGCTCCTGGTCCTCGTCTCCGCCGTGGACATTGTCGTGTCCCTCGCCTCGTCGGGAGGCGCGCGCATCCTGGGTATCCTGCGCGTGCTCCGGCTCCTGCGCACCCTGCGGCCCCTGCGGTGAGGGGGGCGCGGTCGGGGAGGGGGTCGGTGACCCACGCGGTCAGTCGCACAATACCTGAGCAGGCATTGCGCCTCCTTCGCACACCTGTCCCTCCACATGCAACAGCTATACCACGCATCCCTTCAGCCACTCGGCTGGTTTAATGCCATCAAGGCTCTGGACCGGCTTCAACATTGGTGCCTCATCAGCAAAGTCAGACTGACTGAACCCAATGCTGGTGGCATCACGCTGCAGCCCCTCTGGTCCGGTATGTATGTATGTTGAACTTGTTTCGCATTGTACATAGCCAACCTTGATAATCGATGCCTCCCCCCCCCCACACCTCCTCCAGAGTGATCAGCCGCGCGCCGGGCCTGAAGCTCGTGGTGGAGACGCTGATCACGTCATTGAAGCCGATTGGGAACATCGTCCTCATCTGCTGCGCCTTTTTCATCATCTTCGGCATCCTGGGGGTACAGGTGCCGAAAGCCCCCACCTCCACCTCACCCCCAACTCCTCACCCGCCATCGCCACCACCACCTTCCTCTGCTGGCTGAAGAGCAAGCTCTAGAGGGAATCTGGCTTTCTCTTCCTCCACACGTCCATGTTGAGGGGACGCGTTGGAAGACTTTAGCCCTTCTTCATAGGACGTGGCTTGTGCTCTGAGGAAGGGACACTACCGGTCCTTCCTCGTGGGGCCGCGGCGTTCGTGGCAAGCGAGCGGGTGGAGCGTTGTGGCACCGTTCACGCGGAGTGCGGTGCGGCGAACATCGATCGTCACCCCCGTGCCCCCGTGCCCCCCGCAGCTCTTCAAGGGGAAGTTCTACTTCTGCGAGGGGACGGACACCCGGAACATCACGAGCCGTGCTGACTGCGCGCGTGCGCACTACCGTTGGGTGCGCCGCAAGTACAACTTTGACAACCTGGGGCAGGTGAGGCCGCCCTCCATCCTCCCCCTGATCCCTCCCCCTAGTTCTCTCTATCTCCTACCTCCCTCCCTCATCCCTCCCCATGCTGTCCTCCTCCCTACTCTCGAGCCTTCCCCTGACCTCCCCCCCCCAAACCTAAGGTTGCTACTTACCCACTCACTCATTTATTCTAGATTTGAAGTTTTCGTGACTGCAAGGATCCATACTCTTTGGTTCTTTCGGTAAAGTCACGTAGGTGAAAATAAAAATAATAATACAAAAAATAGAATAAAAATGGAAATAACTAAATTAAATCACGACGTTTCGGGCGCAACACAAGTGTCCGCCATCAGGTGGGGACAACCACAGCGACAACGCAATCGCTGGAGTGTGCCGAAGGGATGGCTACAGCCATGCCTTCGCTGTGGTTGTCCCCACCTGATGGCGGACACTTGTGTTGCGCCCGAAACGTCGTGATTTAATTTAGTTATTTCCATTTTTATTCTATTTTTTGTATTATTATTATTATTATTTTTATTTTCACCTACGTGACTTTACCGAAAACACTCATTTATTCGTCGTCCAAAAATCACTTAGTAACTCACCCACTTGCCCACCCACTCACCCAGCCACTAAGGTTACCGCCGTGTTTGACCAAGAATCGGCGTCTGCTGTATTCGAACGGCAAGGATTGATGTGTACCGAGATCTGGTGCTGGTGACTGCGCAGTGGTGCCAAGAGGCTTCGGCCGAATGTCTAGACCCGTGTCCGGGCTCGCTGTGCATGGAAGAGGTGGCGACCCCCCCCCCCCTCTCCTGTGACCCGTGACCCGTGGGATGCATACCCGTGGCTGTGTCTGATGTCCCGTGTCCCGCAGGCGCTCATGTCCCTGTTCGTGCTGGCCTCGAAGGACGGCTGGGTGAACATCATGTACGACGGCCTGGACGCCGTGGGTGAGAATTTGCAGGTGAGGAACCCGGAACGAACCCGTGGCTCGGGGCTGGGGGCTCAGTGGTGTTTCTTGTTTGAACGCGGAGAGAGGGCTGGGGGTGACGGGAGGAAGGAGGGAGGAGATGCCGATACACCGCCTCCCTCATGCTACTGCGGATTTGCTTCAAACTGCGGAGGTCTGCAGTTTGAATTCGGTGGGCCGCCCTGGTAAATACTGCAGGTGTCATTATCATCGCTCATAGAAACCAGTTACAGCATCAAGCACAGTGACATCACTCACACACAGCATCGTCACACACAGCATCACGCACTGTATGCATCATCACACTGGGATGCGTTGCATTAACCCTGCACCATCTGCTTCACTCACAGTGGACGTTAAAGATCCCCGGACATCATCAGAAGAGGAGTATGTCATATTGTGTCCCGGTGTGATGCTCCAAATTAGAGAAATTAGACCGCAAATTACTCGCTTGGGAAACGCATTGCGAGCGTCGCCCCTCACTTGCGAATAATCCCCGACATGAGCAGTACATCTCGTGGTGCTTTAACAGGAGACAGTGCACCGGGCCTGGCGTCGCTATCCTCACTTGTTGTTGTTGTTAAATGGTGGTTGCTGTTGCTGGTAGCGAGTTGCCCTGCTGGGTGTTGTGTCCGCGTGCAGCCCGTGCGGAACCACAACCCGTGGATGCTGCTCTACTTCATCTCCTTCCTGCTGCTCGTCAGCTTCTTCGTGCTCAACATGTTCGTGGGCGTCGTGGTGGAGAACTTCCACAAGTGCCGGCAGCACCAGGAGGCCGAGGAGACGCGGCTCCGCGAGGAGAAGCGACTCCGCCGGGCAGAGAAACGGAGGCGCAGTAAGAGGGGTGGGGGGGAGGATGCATGGGGACTCGAGATAGGGAAGGGGGGGAGGTGGGGGGAGAGGCGGGGCGGAGGCATCGGGGAGCTGCGACAGGGTCGGGAGAGAGACTGGGAGACCCGAGGACACGGACTGCGTGCAGGGTGCGGGGCCTGGTTCACGCGAGAGGGGCATGAGGGCGGGCGAGCGAGGAGGCGCTCGGCTCGACTCGGGCTCCGTCGCGGTCCGGGATGAATGCGCGGCGGCGCCGCGGGTGTCCGCGTGCCCCGTCCACCGTCCTCGCGCGGCGCATGGTCGCTCCACCCGCATGGCACCGCTCGCTGCTGAGACCCATCCACATCGCCCCACGCATCCCCACGCTGCCATTCACGACGCACGCTCCGCTCTGCTCTGCACGCGCGTGGGGGCGGTGGTAGCCGCGTGTGAGGGGTGGGGTGGGGGGTAGAATCCCCGACGTTGCACCCCGCGCTTCGCGTCCCCCCGATGCCGCCGCGTCGCCGGGCCACGGGCGGCGATAGCCGTGGATTCTCTCTGCGACCTCTACCCTCGCTCGGTCGCTCCCGGGGGTCGCCGCGGTCACGGCTTGGGGTCGCCGGCCTGGCCGCCCGGGGGCCTGCGTGACCAATCCGGAACCGCGCGCCAATCTGAACCCGACCAAGTGTCCTCCTGGTTCGAGCTCTGGCTTCGCGAGTGCAGAACCGATCGATTTCGGTTCCCGCTGCGACCCCACCTCCATGCCCCCTCCCCCCTCGGCCATTCGTCTCTCCGCGCCGCTGCGAGCGCACAGGTTAATTGGCGGTGGATGGGTTCATTGGGGGCGCGACAATGGGAGGCAGCAGCGTGTTGGGGGAGCAGCATGCTTGTACCGCACGCACGGCGGGGAGACGCCGAGAGCGGCGGTGTGCGCGGCGCCTAACCTCTGGCTGCTCTCCGTGTCTGCCTCCAGACGGAAAGGACGCGGGGGGGAGACGCGCTAAGCAGGGCGCTCACAAAAACCATAAAGGTATCATGCATACCACCACGGGCGCCACTCCACCCCACAGCGATCCCGCGGCCCCCTCCCCCCGGCAAGGGAAGGCCACCCCCCTCCCCACCTCCCTGTACCCCAACCCTTACGCCCCCTCTCCCGGCCTCACGGCGATAGTTCTGCTGGTGTGCATAGGTTCGAGCCTAGTCACGGAGCTATCACGTATGCCAATCTCTTCCGTCCGTTGTGCGACACTGAACAAAGGCCCAAAACTTCCAATCAGCCAGCAACAAACAGCACTGCTATCAACATTCTAATACGTCCCAGAGTGTGCGAGGTTATCATTATTATCATCATCGTAAGAGCGTGGGGAGGGGCAGGGGAAGAGACGATGGAAGGAAGGAGTTCAAACGTGCAGCGGTGGGGGGGGGGGGGCATGGAGAGAAGTGTTGTCACCTGCAGATAGTGGCCCGAGGCGATGGTGGGAGGCTGGGGGGGGGGCATGGAGAGAAGTGTTGTCACCTGCAGATAGTGGCCCGAGGCGATGGTGGGGGGCTGGGGGGGGGGGCATGGAGAGAAGTGTTGTCACCTGCAGATAGTGGCCCGAGGCGATGGTGGGGGGCTGGGGGGGGGGCATGGAGAGAAGTGTTGTCACCTGCAGATAGTGGCCCGAGGCGATGATGGGGGGCTGGGGGGGGCCGTGAGAGGAATCGAGCGACTTTCGCTTCCTTCTGCCCCTGGGATGACGAGGCCTGAGGCCAGCGCCTGCGGGACGCGGAGTGGAATGCGCTCAGGCGGAGCTTCGTGGAATCAGGGTGGAGCACGTGGGCCCTGTCACGCGGTCATAGCAGGACCAGGAGGCCATGGCGGGGTCAATGTGAAGTCAACTCGCGGGTTCTCGCAGCCATTGTGATGATTCATAATTGATTTTTGCGTTAGGGCGCGTAACGATCGGGCCATGTCGGGTGTCATGAAGAATGACGTCAGTTATTGTTATCCTGAAAGCCATCGCCTTTACCAACGCTTGGATGGTCCCTTGAGTGTTTCTTTTACGCCCTGTCATAATGCAGTGGTAATTCGTGTTGCGTGTGACAGCATCCGAGTGCTTAGCATTGTGTTCGATGTAATAGCAGCTCACGGTCCCTGACAGCTGCACCCGAAGCTCTGCCGAGTTGTGCGTGAGGTAGAGGCGCTGCCCATGGTGCTGATCTCTCTCAGAGGTTCAGAATCAGAATATTTATTCATACTGGAGGAATCCGATGAGCTACAAAGCTGTTTTTCACAGATATATAGTCGGGGCGGGTAAGAACGTTACAACAACAAACAGTACAACGATATGATAGTAATGAAAATTACAAGAAGGTAAACACAAATCACACAAACACAAATACATCACCCAAACACACACAAACACAACTAAACCATCCCCATCCTACCAGGCAAATCCCACTGAGATATTAACTTATTTTTCAGAAGCGACCTGGCCATGGCGCTGATCTATCTTAGAGGTAGAGGCGCTGTTCATGGCGCTGATCCCTCTTAGAGGTAGAGGCGCTGTCCATGGCGCTGATCCCTCTTAGAGGTAGAGGCGCTGTCCATGGCGCTGATCCCTCTTAGAGGTAGAGGCGCTGTCCATGGCGCTGATCCCTCTTAGAGGTAGAGGCGCTGTCCATGGTGCTGATCTCTCTTAGAGGTAGAGGCGCTGTCCATGGCGCTGATCCCTCTTAGAGGTAGAGGCGCTGTCCATGGCGCCGATCCCTCTTAGAGGTAGAGGCGCTGTCCATGGCGCTGATCTCTCTTAGAGGTAGAGGCGCTGTCCATGGCGCTGATCTCTCTTAGAGGTAGAGGCGCTGTCCATGGCGCTGATCCCTCTTAGAGGTAGAGGCGCTGTCCATGGCGCTGATCTCTCTTAGAGGTAGAGGCGCTGTCCATGGTGCTGATCTCTCTTAGAGGTAGAGGCGCTGTCCATGGCGCTGATCTCTCTTAGAGGTAGAGGCGCTGTCCATGGTGCTGATCTCTCTTAGAGGTAGAGGCGCTGTCCATGGCGCTGATCTCTCTTAGAGGTAGAGGCGCTGTCCATGGTGCTGATCCCTCTTAGAGGTAGAGGCGCTGTCCATGGCGCTGATCTCTCTTAGAGGTAGAGGCGCTGTCCATGGCGCTGATCTCTCTAAGAGGTAGAGGCGCTGTCCATGGTTCTGATCCCTCTTAGAGGTAGAGGCGCTGTCCATGGTGCTGATCCCTCTTAGAGGTAGAGGCGCTGTCCATGGTGCTGATCCCTCTTAGAGGTAGAGGCGCTGTCCATGGCGCTGATCTCTCTTAGAGGTAGAGGCGCTGTCCATGGCGCTGATCTCTCTTAGAGGTAGAGGCGCTGTCCATGGGGCTGATCCCTCTTAGAGGTAGAGGCGCTGTCCATGGTGCTGATCTCTCTTAGAGGTAGAGGCGCTGTCCATGGTGCTGATCTCTCTTAGAGGTTGAGGCGCTGTCCATGGTGCTGATCCCTCTTAGAGGTAGAGGCGCTGTCCATGGTGCTGTTCCCTCTTAGAGGTTGAGGCGCTGTCCATGGTGCTGATCTCTCTTAGAGGTAGAGGCGCTGTCCATGGTGCTGATCTCTCTTAGAGGTTGAGGCGCTGTCCATGGTGCTGATCCCTCTTAGAGGTAGAGGCGCTGTCCATGGTGCTGATCTCTCTTAGAGGTTGAGGCGCTGTCCATGGTGCTGATCCCTCTTAGAGGTAGAGGCGCTGTCCATGGTGCTGATCCCTCTTAGAGGTAGAGGCGCTGTCCATGGTGTATATCTCTTAGAGGTAGAGGCGCTGTCCATGGTGCTGATCTCTCTTAGAGGTAGAGGCGCTGTCCATGGTGCTGATCTCTCTTAGAGGTTGAGGCGCTGTCCATGGTGCTGATCCCTCTTAGAGGTAGAGGCGCTCTCCATGGTGCTGATCTCTCTTAGAGGTTGAGGCGCTGTCCATGGTGCTGATCCCTCTTAGAGGTAGAGGCGCTGTCCATGGTGCTGATCCCTCTTAGAGGTTGAGGCGCTGTCCATGGCGCTGATCTCTCTTAGAGGTAGAGGCGCTGTCCATGGTGCTGATCTCTCTTAGAGGTTGAGGCGCTGTCCATGGTGCTGATCTCTCTTAGAGGTTGAGGCGCTGTCCATGGTGCTGATCCCTCTTAGAGGTAGAGGCGCTGTCCATGGTGCTGATCTCTCTTAGAGGTTGAGGCGCTGTCCATGGTGCTGATCCCTCTTAGAGGTAGAGGCGCTGTCCATGGTGCTGATCCCTCTTAGAGGTTGAGGCGCTGTCCATGGCGCTGATCTCTCTTAGAGGTAGAGGCGCTGTCCATGGTGCTGATCTCTCTTAGAGGTTGAGGCGCTGTCCATGGTGCTGATCCCTCTTAGAGGTAGAGGCGCTGTCCATGGTGCTGATCCCTCTTAGAGGTAGAGGCGCTGTCCATGGTGCTGATCCCTCTTAGAGGTAGAGGCGCTGTCCATGGTGCTGATCCCTCTTAGAGGTAGAGGCGCTGTCCATGGCGCTAATCTCTCTTAGAGGTAGAGGCGCTGTCCATGGTGCTGATCCCTCTTAGAGGTAGAGGCGCTGTCCATGGTGCTGATCCCTCTTAGAGGTTGAGGCGCTGTCCATGGTGCTGATCTCTCTTAGAGGTAGAGGCGCTGTCCATGGTGCTGATCCCTCTTAGAGGTAGAGGCGCTGTCCATGGTGCTGATCCCTCTTAGAGGTAGAGGCGCTGTCCATGGCGCTGATCTCTCTTAGAGGTAGAGGCGCTGTCCATGGTGCTGATCTCTCTTAGAGGTAGAGGCGCTGTCCATGGTGCTGATCCCTCTTAGAGGTTGAGGCGCTGTCCATGGTGCTGATCCCTCTTAGAGGTAGAGGCGCTGTCCATGGTGCTGATCCCTCTTAGAGGTAGAGGCGCTGTCCATGGCGCTGATCCCTCTTAGAGGTAGAGGCGCTGTCCATGGCGCTGATCCCTCTTAGAGGTAGAGGCGCTGTCCATGGCGCTGATCCCTCTTAGAGGTTGAGGCGCTGTCCATGGTGCTGATCTCTCTTAGAGGTTGAGGCGCTGTCCATGGTGCTGATCTCTCTTAGAGGTTGAGGCGCTGTCCATGGTGCTGATCCCTCTTAGAGGTTGAGGCGCTGTCCATGGTGCTGATCCCTCTTAGAGGTTGAGGCGCTGTCCATGGTGCTAATCCCTCTTAGAGGTTGAGGCGCTGTCCATGGTGCTGATCTTATTAAAGTTAATGCAATCCGTAAGCAGCAATTACAATGTATTGTTCACACTAACTATGATTTTCAAGTTGAGTTCAACTAGGTGAGAAAATCAAGAGACCTATAGACTCGCAATAGAATTATGTTGAACAGGTGCTATGTGTTGTATTTATTGCGCATTATAATACTTTCGGCTCTTTGGTCATGTCTTTCAGTTTCTGTAAACACACTTTATGAGCACAGGCCTAAAGGTCGATAGCGTCAACTGCCATCGACATACAGTACCATCCAGGTTGTAATATCGAATATGTAATATTTGGGAACAGAGACAGTGGGAGGGAGCAGTGACCTGGAGTGTGGTGATGAGTGCGTGTTATTTGACTTGCAATGTGGTGAGTGTTGTTGTGACCTGCTGTGTGGTGTGTGGGCGTGGTGAGTGAGTAGTGTGTTGTCGTTTGAGAGTGTGAGCAAAGTAGTTTCTTAGAGGCACGTGTTACGTGGCATGCGTAGCCATGTGTGGACATATTCCTTTGATTAGCGGTGGTCCGTTCTCTCTGGGTAGTGAGTAGGGTGAGTAGGGAAAGAGTGGCAGTGACTGTGGGCGAGTAAAGTCAGGTCCGCTCCCATGCAGCCCCCCCCCCGCCCCCTTACCGTGTGAATAATTTAAACGTGGGGTCGACGGGACCTTCGCCGTGGGACGTGTCTCGAATCTCAATGAAACCTGCGGGGCTCGGGCCAATTACGCCAGGGTAAATATAATTTGCTAGGCGATCAGTTTCTATGAAATGTCATCATCGCATCTCATTTATTTTTTATTTGTCATCGTACGTTGGCATTCCCATGGCACCCCCCCTGAGTGTCCCCCTCCATGCATTACCTGATCGACGCGTGAACGCAGCGCGGCGTCCGTGGAGAGATGGAAGTGGGGGAGCGTTGGGTCGGGGGGAGCGGCCGGGGGGTGCGAACCCGACTTTGACAGCTCTCGTCTGTCCACCTGGGTGTGCGGCGTACATCAGCGTGTACACGTGTGTGTGGCCGTGTGCATTCGTGTGCGCCTGGATGTCTGCGTATCGCTGTGTGTACATTGTGGCGAGTGTGGGGAGCAGTAGCACAGTGGTTAGCGCAATGCGTGAACCCAGTTACCCGAGTTACGATTCCCGCTCATGGCCAACATTGGTGGTAAATATCTGAACCGGTCCTGGGCCTCCCCTAGGTCGAATCAACCTTAAATTAGTACCTGGTACGGTGTGTAAACAGGCATGGTACTGGCTACACAACCCCTTCGTGTGCCGTGCCGGCCTTAATAGATGCTACTCGCGAACAGCACTTTCCCAACAGTCTGTTAAAGGCTACACGGAGACTTTTGTCTGTGTGCGCGTGTTCCCTGCGTGTGCGCGCGTGCAGAAGCGCAGCAGAAGCCGTACTACGCTGACTACTCGCGCACTCGCATGCTCGTTCACGGCGCGTGCACGTCCAGCTACCTGGACCTCTTCATCACCGTGGTCATCGGCCTCAACGTCGTCACCATGGCCATGGAGCACTACGACCAGCCCAGGGTGTGGCCCACAGTCGTGGTGGGGGGGGGGGGGCGGGGGGCGGGGGGAGGGCGGCAGTGACGCTCAGGGGGGGATAGACTAAAACGAATGGCAGGAGAAAGAATGCCCAGACTAAGTATACGTGTTAAGCCTACGTGTTAGACAGACTAATTCTGTTTCCCATTGTTAACCATGGCCATTCCGTGTTCACATGTTAGCCTATGGGGTCAGGGCCATGGGGAGAGTGGGGGTGGTGACACTCGCTCGTGTCTCGCAGTCGCTGGAGGAGGCGCTCAAGTACTGCAACTATTTCTTCACGACGGTGTTCGTGCTGGAGGCGGCCTTCAAGCTCGTGGCGTTTGGCATACGAAGATACTTCAAGGACAGGTGCAGGGCCCACTCGCCTCCCTCCCTCACCATGCCTCCGGTCATTTACCACGGACCTCATATTTTCCATCGAATCACAACGCCATTTTTCAATATTTAGAGGAATATATTTCAGATTTGAGTGGTAGGATGGTGCAGTGGTAACACTCGTGCTGCCTCACAAAAAGAGCCTGGGTTTGATTCCTGACTCGGGTGCTTTTCTGTTTGGAGTTTTGTATGTTCTCCATCTGCTCTGCATGAATTTCGTCATTGTTCCCCAGTTTTCCGCCACAGCTAAACACACACACACAAAATGCCACTGGTATTGGCCAAAGTATCCCAATCACAACAAGATTATCTGCAAATTACTCCGTTGGGATCTCACACACACACACAGCAGTAGCATCGCCCTCTACCGTGAAAACTTGATGGGACCCTCCTGAAAATAGTCTTGGGACTCGGTGACGCTTTCGTGAGTAATCAAGCGTGGTGATAATAATTATAGTCGTAAAATAAACAACGCGTTCTTTGACCGCATGTTGCGAATTGTGTATTAAGGGCATGTATGTAGTGTGTGGTGAGTGTATATGTATGTGATATATGTGTCGGTGTGGCCGTGCGTGGGGAGCGACAGAACAGCGGTTAGCGTGCTGCGCTACGAACCCGGCGACCCGGTTTCGAATTGAGGCTCACGGTCAACACCAGTGACGATTATCTGAACCGCTCTTGAGCCTCCCCTAGGTTGATTCAGCATAAAATGAGTACCTGGTGCGGTGTCTAAACATCGCCACGAGGGAGACAAAGGCGGTCGGGCGGGGTTTCTGGCCACTCACCCCCTCGTGTACCGTGTCGGCCTTAATAGGAGCTCGTGAACAGCACTTGCTCCTACCGTCTGTGAAGGCTACGCGAGTGATCTTTGTCTTGTGGCCGCGTGCGTGTAGGTGGAACCAGCTGGATCTCGGCATCGTGCTGCTGTCCATCATGGGCATTACGCTGGAGGAGATCGAGATGAATGCATCGCTGCCCATCAACCCGACCATCATGCGCATCATGCGCGTACTGCGCATCGCCCGCGGTACCCACCGCCCCCCCCCCACCCGGGGTGATGCGCGTCTGGGTCACCATAGTAACCGGGATAACCAGTGTCCAGGGTAACTGGTGTGTGGGGTAACCAGGGTAACTGGTACCAAAGTAACGAGGGTGTGGGGTAAACAGGGTAACTGGTACTATGGTAACAAGGGCGTGGGGTAACCAGGGTAACTGGTACTATGGTAACAAGGGCGTGGGGTAACCAGGGTAACTGGTACTATGGTAACCAGGGTGTGGGGTGGCTGCTGGGCCGAGGCTACCCTGAGCCAGTCGCACGGCACGCCTCCGTGCCTGCAAAGTGGCCTCAGCCCTGCGAGTCGCCGCGCCCCCGTGACCCCGTGCCTCCGTGTCCCTGTCACCACGTGCCTCGATGTCCCCATGTCCCCATACCCCCGTACCCCCGTGACCCCGTGCCTCTGTGTCCCTGTCACCACGTGCCTCGATGTCCCCATGTCCCCGTGACCCCATGTTCCTGTGACCCCATGTCCCCGTGACCCCGTGCCTCTATGACCCCTGCCTCTATGTCCCCATGTCCCCGTGTCCCCGTACCTCGATGTCCCCATGTCCCCGTGTCCCTGTGTCCCCGTGTTCCCGTGACCCCGTGCCTCTATGACCCCTGCCTCTATGTCCCCGTGACCCCATGTCCCTGTGACCCCATGTCCCCGTGACCCCGTGCCTCTATGACCCCTGCCTCTATGTCCCCATGTCCCCGTGTCCCCGTACCCCCGTGCCTCGATGTCCCCATGTCCCCGTGTCCCTGTGTCCCCGTATTCCCGTGACCCCGTGACCCCGTGCCTCTATGACCCCTGCCTCTATGTCCCCGTGGCCCTGTGTCCCTGTCTCCGTGTCCCCGTGACCCCGTGCCTCGATGTCCCCGTGCCCCCGTGCCTCGATGTCCCCGTGACCCTGTGTTCCTGTGTCCCCGTGACCCCGTGTCTCTATGACCCCGTGCCCCCGTGCCCCGATGTGCCCGTGTCCCCAGTGCTCAAGCTCTTGAAGACAGCCACAGGGATGCGCTCCCTCATCGACACCGTGGTGCAGGCGCTGCCACAGGTGCGAGGCGAGCTCCGGCTCCGGCCATCGCTCTACACTCATCATCATCATTCTGCTTGTTAACCCAAGAAAGCGTCACCGAGTCTCAAGTTACCTTTTCAGGAGGGTCCTGCCATGTTTTCGAAGGAGTGAGCGATGTTGCTGTTGAGTGAGGTCTCGATTGAATAATTTGCAGGTAATTGTTCAACATTGGGGTGTGGTTTGGCCAATCCCAGTTACATTGTTCTTTTTCTATGGGAGGTAACCAGAGAATCCGGAGGAAACACTTGCAGAAGAGGGGGGGGGGATAGAAACTCTTCACAGAAAGGCGTTCGAGTCAAGAATCGAGTCCAGGCCCTTGTTGTTTCGAGGCGCGAGTGATGGGATGTGTAAAGATGAGTGAATGGTATTTTATACGCGGAGGAACATGGCGAGGAAGGGGATGCGGCTGTGAGTGGTCCATGATGTCGCGACCCCTCTCGTGGCCCGAGCCGGGATCGCGCGTGGAGCCGCGGGGCTTCCTTTCCACGCGAGGTAATTCCACGTTCCTGTGACGAAGCCGGTATCGGAGGCTGTGCTCGTGTGTGCGCGGTGCAGGTGGGGAACCTTGGCCTCCTCTTCCTGTTGCTCTTCTTCATCTACGCGGCCCTGGGGGTCGAGCTGTTTGGCCGCCTGAGTGAGTCACTCCCGGCCCACTCAACTCTCCGCCACTCACGCCTTTCTTTCACCCCCTCACCGTCTCATTCACTTCTCTCTCGCTTTTCATTCACTCCTCATCCCATGCTCACTTGTCGTGATTGCCTTTTGTGATATGAGGTCATAGTCGCCTGTGGTTGTCCCAGGATTTCTGTCGTTGCTTACGGGCGCCTGTGGATTGCTGTGGTTGCCCACGCAGTCTGTGACGACGAGACCCCGTGCGAGGGCCTTACCCGTCACGCGACCTTCGAAAACTTCGGCATGGCCTTCCTCACGCTGTTCCGCGTGTCCACGGGCGACAACTGGAATGGCATCATGAAGGTAGCGCATAGGGGGTGTCCATCGCGCGCTGTGTTTCCAGGAGAGCCTCGCCGAGGCGGAGACACAGAGACGCACACGGGGAGATGAGAGGAGCCCCGACTCGGAGAGTCGTGGGGGGAGCGCGGCGGCAGCAGCAGAGGGGGTCGCGGTGTTGCTGTGTCCCGGGAGAGAGTGAGGGCAGAGTGTGGATCGCGTGTCTGTGTGTGTGTGTGGAGAGTGTGGTGGTGGTGGAGTGTGTCTCTGTGTGTGTGTGGAGAGTGTGGTGGAGCGTGTCTGTGTGTGTGTGTGGAGAGTGTGGTGGTGGTGGAGTGTGTCTCTGTGTGTGTGTGGAGAGTGTGGTGGAGTGTGTCTGTGTGTAGTGTAGTGGAGCGTGTCTGTGTGTGTGTGGAGCGTGTGGTGGTGAAGCGTGTCTGTGTGTGTGTGTGTGGAGTGTGTCTGTGTGTGTGTGTATAGTGTGGTGGTGGAGCGTGTCTTTGTGTGTGTGTAGAGTGTAGTGGTGGAGCGTGTCTGTGTGTGCGTGTAGTGTGGTGGAGCGTGTCTGTGTGTGTGTGTGGAGAGTGTGGTGGAGCGTGTCTGTGTGTGTGTGTGGAGCGTGTGGTGGTGGAGCGTGTCTGTGTGTGTGTGTGTGGAGTGTGGTGGTGGAGCGTGTCTGTGTGTGTGTAGTGTGGTGGAGCGTGTCTGTGTGTGTGTGTGTGGAGTGTGTCTGTGTGTGTGTAGAGTGTGGTGGTGGAGCGTGTCTGTGTGTGTGTAGTGTGGTGGAGCGTGTCTGTGTGTGTGTAGTGTGGTGAAGCGTGTCTGTGTGTGTGTGGAGCGTATGGTGGTGGAGCGTGTCTGTGTGTGTGTGGAGCGTATTGTGGTGGAGCGTGTCTGTGTGTGTGTGTGGAGTGTGTCTGTGTGTGTGGAGTGTGGTGGTGGAGCGTGTGTCTGTGTGTGTGTGTGTGGAGCGTGTGGTGGTGGAGCGTGGGTCTGTGTGTGTGGGGAGTGTGTCTGTGTGTGTGGAGTGTGGTGGAGCGTGTCTGTGTGTGTGTGGAGCGTGTGGTGGTGGAGCGTGTCTGTGTGTGGAGTGTGTCTGTGTGTGTGTGTGTAGAGTGTGGTGGTGGAGCGTGTCTGTGTGTGTGTGTGGAGTGTGTCTGTGTGTGTGTGTAGAGTGTGGTGGTGGAGCGTGTGTCTGTGTGTGTGGGGAGCGCAGGACACGCTGCGAGAGTGCGGGGCCGGGCTCCCCGCGGAGCCCCCGGGCTGCGTGGCGCACCTCCCGCTCATCTCGCCCGTCTACTTCGTGACGTTCGTGCTCACGGCGCAGTTCGTGCTCGTGAACGTGGTGGTGGCCGTGCTCATGAAGCACCTGGAGGAGAGCAACCAGGCACGGTCCGCCGCAACCACCACCATCACCACCACAACAACCACCACAATTACCATGGAAAACCACCACAACCACCGCAATCAATAACCACAGCCACCACAACAAACAGCGGAAGAATAGCGTAAAACAAGATGCAACATCGAACAAAACCTGCAACAATCACCAGAACTTGCTACCCTCACAAGTGCCACCACAACGACCCACAAGAGCCGCGGCCAGCCGCCACCATCAGTGATTACATCGAGCAGCAGACGAACATCAACAAACCCAAGAGCACCACCACACCACGTTAACCACACCACCCACACCACCGACACCACCGCACCAACGACAGCCCTCATTCGCCACGAAGTTCCGGCGACGTCACCACGGTGCTTGTGCCAGGCTAGGTGCACGTCGAGGCCCCGCGAGGTGTGGATGGCTCGCTGGCAGGAGGTCACGGGACAGGCCCAGGTGCCGTGGGTCGACTGGCAGCGCCCCACTCTCACCCGCGCTGTGTGTGGATCCAGGACGACGACGATGACGATGTGGATGGAGACACCACGGAGGGCGAGGGGGGCCCCCTCGGGCCCGAAAGGGACCCGCGCAGGGAGGCCCCCTCCCCGACGCCGCGGGGAACGGGAAGCCGGTCCCCCCGGCGGCACAGCGCTGACACCGGGTGGTCCCAGTGGGGGCAGGGGGCCGAGGGGGAGCGCGTCTCCCTGGGCGGGTCCCCCTCGTGGCGGCCGGGGACCCGGGTGAGTGCAGGAGGTGGTCATCACGGCGACGTGGACTGTGCAGTAGTCACGGTGACGGTGTGGCTGTGCGGTAGTCACGGTGACCGTGCGGCTGTGCGGTAGTCATGGTGACGTGGACTGTGCGTTCGTCACGGTGATGGTGCGGCTGTGCGGTAGTCATGGTGACGGTGCAACTGTGCGGTAGTCACGGTGACCGTGCGGCTGTGCGGTAGTCGTGGTGACGGTACGGCTGTGCGGTAGTCACGGTGACTGTGCGGCTGTGCGGTAGTCATGGTGACGTGGACTGTGCGTTCGTCACGGTGATGATGCGGCTGTGCGGTAGTCACGGTGACAGTGCGGCTGTGCGGTAGTCACGGTGACGTGGACTGTGCGTTCGTTACGGTGATGGTGCGGCTGTGCGGTAGTCACGGTGACGGTGCGGCTGTGCGGTAGTCATGGTGACCGTGCGGCTGTGTGTAGCTGCGGTTCTCGTCGGACCTGTCGCTGGTGATGGTGGACGCAGTGGATGCCGAGTTGCTGCTCATGGACAACCTGTCGGGCTCCGTGTGCCGCTCCTACGGCCTGAGCTCCACCCAGGGACCGCCCGGCTCCCCGAAGGTTCCACGCACAGGGGCACGGGGACTACAGAGACATCGATGATGATGATGATGGTGGTGGTGGTGAGGGTGGTGATGTTGGTAAGGGTAGTAATGATGAGGGTGATGAGGGTGATGGTGGTGGTGATAGTACCGAGCGTGGTGAGGGTGAGCGTGGTGATGGTGAGCGTGGTGAGGGTGAGCGTGGTGATGGTGGTGATGTTGGTAAGGGTAGTAATGATGAGGGTGATGAGGGTGATGGTGGTGGTGATTGTGCCGAGCGTGGTGATGGTGAGGGTGGTGAGGGTGAGCGTGGTGATGGTGAGCGTGGTGATGGTGAGGGTGATGAGGGTGAGCGTGGTGATGGTGAGTGTGGTGAGGGTGAGCGTGGTGATGGTGAGCGTGGTGATGGTGAGCGTGGTGAGGGTGAGGGTGGTGAGGGTGAGCGTGGTGAGCGTGGTGATGGTGAGCGTGGTGAGGGTGAGCGTGGTGATGGTGAGCGTGGTGATGGTGAGGGTGGTGATGGTGAGCGTGGTGAGGGTGAGCGTGGTGAGCGTGGTGATGGTGAGCGTGGTGATGGTGAGCGTGGTGAGGGTGAGGGTGGTGATGTTGGTAAGGGTAGTAATGATGAGGGTGATGGTGGTGGTGATTGTGCCGAGCGTGGTGATGGTGAGGGTGGTGAGGGTGAGCGTGGTGATGGTGAGCGTGGTGATGGTGAGGGTGGTGAGGGTGAGCGTGGTGATGGTGAGTGTGGTGAGGGTGAGCGTGGTGATGGTGAGCGTGGTGATGGTGAGCGTGGTGAGGGTGAGGGTGGTGAGGGTGAGCGTGGTGAGCGTGGTGATGGTGAGCGTGGTGAGGGTGAGACGTGGTGATGTGAGCGTGGTGATGGTGAGGGTGGTGATGGTGAGCGTGGTGAGGGTGAGCGTGGTGAGCGTGGTGATGGTGAGCGTGGTGATGGTGAGCCGTGGTGAGGGTAGGGTGGTGATGTTGGTAAGGGTAGTAATGATGAGGGTGATGAGGGTGGGTGATGGTGAGGGGTGGTGAGGGTGAGCGCGGTGATGGTGAGCGTGGTGAGGGTGCGGGTGGTGAGGGTGAGCGTGGTGATGGGTGAGCGTGGTGAGGGTGAGGGTGGTGATGTGAGCGTGGTGAGGGTGAGGGTGTGTGATGTTGGTTAAGGGTAGTAATGATGAGGGTGATGGTGGTGGTGATTGTGCTGAGCGTGGTGATGGTGAGGGTGGTGATGTTGGTAAGGGTAGTAAACATGAGGGTGATGATGGTGATGGTGGTGGTGATTGTGCCGAGCGTGGTGAGGGTGAGGCACGTGGTGAGGGTGAGCGTGGTGAGGGTGAGTGTGGTGAGGGTGAGCGTGGTGAGGGTGAGCGTGGTGAGGGTGAGCGTGGTGAGGGTGAGCGTGGTGAGGGTGAGCGTGGTGAGGGTGAGCGTGGTGATGGTGAGGGTGGTGATGTTGGTAAGGGTAGTAATGATGAGGGTTATGATGGTGATGGTGGTGGTGATTGTGCCGAGCGTGGTGATGGTGAGGGTGGTGAGGGTGAGCGTGGTGAGGGTGAGCGTGGTGAGGGTGAGTGTGGTGAGGGTGAGCGTGGTGATGGTGAGGGTGGTGATGGTGAGGGTGGTGATGGTGAGGGTGGTGAGGGTGAGTGTGGTGAGGGTGAGCGTGGTGATGGTGAGGGTGGTGATGGTGAGGGTGAAGGTGGTGAGGGTGAGCGTGGTGATGGTGAGCGTGGGGAGGGTGAGCGTGGTGATGGTGAGGGTGGTGATGTTGGTAAGGGTAGTAATGATGAGGGTGTGAAGGTTATGGTGGTGGTGATTGTGCCGAGCGTGGTGGATGGTGAGGGTGAAGATGATGAGGGTCAACTTGGTGATGTGTTGAGGATCATGGTGGTCGTAAGGTCGATGTCGGTGAGGGTTGATGGTGGCGAGTGTGCGCGTGCCCGGGGCCTCGTGCAGATCCCATTGGCCGAGATGGAGGCGCTGTCCGTGACCTCCGACCTGTCGGAGCGATCGTGGTCCCCGGAGCCGCAGCGCCGCCCGCTCGGCGCCGTCCCCTCCATCGTCATCGTCGTCGCCCCTCCGCGTCCTCGCCCCGCCCCCCCTGCCCCCTCGCCGCTGCTTCCCCGGGGGCCCGCACGGCGGCCTCTCGGCGTAAGCATCGGCAGCCACCGGGGCCACGCGGTCGCCGCTGGTGTCGCGTTCTGCTCCGGTCGCAAGAATCGGTTTGCGATTCGCTACCGGTAACTCGTGAGCAGCGAGCGAAATGCTGGGCTCGCGCTGATATGCAAACCGCAGGGCGGGCGATGTCACTCAGTGGTTTACTGTCATCGTTTCTCAGTCAAAAGTAACGGTGCAGTCCTGCAGGTGTCCACCACCGCCACTGCTGGCAAAAGGGCATCCACTCGTGGGAGCTCAAGGCGGTATTTGGTCCTCCTATCCTCTCCTCTTCCACACTGACCAGACGTGTCCCCTGCACCCCCCGTATCCCCGGCACCCCCTGTAGGCTGGAGAGACCCCGGTGGCACGGGGAGGTGACTTGGTCCCTGTGCCCAACGCTTGGGCAAGGGGAGAGTCGGCTCGCGAGTCACGGCGACTCACAGCGGCGAACGCGACACGGGGGCCCCCGGGACCCCCTGCCCAGCCACGGCCACAGGCCAGTGAAGTCATCCACGTCTCAGCGGTGTCACTCGTACAATAATAATGACGATGGCGATGGTTGAGTCTCAGAGCTTGTAGCGGCTCGACGGTGGCGTCCGCCCGGAGCCGCGGGAGGAACCCAGAGAAGGGCGCAAGGGCAGCCAGAACCCGCCGGTAATTGCCACAAGCTCTGCGGTTCTATATCGGGATGTTTGACCAACTCCATTAACGAGCGTTTCTACACGTGGGAGGAAGCCGCAGAGCCGGAGGCGGGGAGAGTAACAATCTACGTACAAATGGGACTGATCTTCCTTGCGAGACAGCAGAGGGCGACCTCCACCCACGAGTCGGCAGGGAGTCTCGCGCGCGATCCACCAAACCTCGCTCACAGCAATCTGAGCGAAACGTCGCCGCACGTCGAGTTGAGTCGTGGGGAGTCTCAAGACACCGGTCAGGAGGCGGAGGAAGCTTTATCAGGCAGGAATCTGGCACGTGTGTATTACTGTAACCGTCGTGGAGGGTAAACGACGCGAATTTCGGCAATAAACCACCGCGTGACCGAACCCAAAGACATATAATGTCAGTTAGAGGGCGTGGCGTGTGTTTAAGCTGTGGCACGGAATCGGAAACCCCAGATGAAACCCATGCAGAACAGGGGGGCAAACTCCACACACAAAGACAAATATCCCCCTCATAGCCTTAACAGACTTGCGGCAAGTGCTATTAGGGAGCACCTTTGACAATGGCGGAGCCAGGATTTTCAAGTAGGGAGGGCAACCCCTCCAGCAATGAAACATGATAGAGGAGTGGCTAGTAAGTAAGGACTTGTCCCTTGCTTTTTGTTCGACGCGTGTGCGGCGATGGCGTTGTGTGATCGGCATCGCGCTCGCTGAAGGTGAATGCCTTCAGGGAAGTCGTGTCCTGTATACGCAACTGCGCACAATTCTGAGTCACTAATAACCGCTTTGTCGTTACTTATTGCCAATTATGGACTCGGACTATTGTCCGATCATCTCATAGAGTCCCTGGCACTTAATAATATGCTACACAGTGGCAGTGGGGGTCGCAAAATGCCGATTTATTACTAATAAACCCAATGATCCGATCGAAAGGAGGGATTTCTGGCTCCGCTAGTGACCTTCGAAGGTGTCCATAGCACACGAGTGGGTGGCTGACACTACCCCTGGACATCTTTGTCTCCCCAGTGCTGATGTTTACACACCAAACCAGGTACTCATT